TCCAGGGCGCGCACCAGCAAGAGCAGCAGCACGGGCAGAGCGGATGCAGCCCGTACACCCGCATCAGTTCCAGCGGGCAGGGCGGCTTCCGGAATCCCGCCGGGGGTGGGCGCCAGGGCCCCCCGCAGCATCCCCAGTTAGGGTACCAGCAGGGCCGACGCAGTGGCTGGAACCAGGGGCCCGGGCCTGGCGGTTGCTTGGCCTTTTTCCTGGGGGGCTTGTAGCCCGGCTTGGGGCCATAGCTGTAGCGTCGCTTGAAAATCGGGGCGCCTCTGCGCCTTCGACGGCAGGATGACCAGCCGCCGCCCAGATTGAGGGGGTCCTCCTTTTGGAAGAGGGTCTGCGTCATGATTCAGGGAGCTCCCCGAAGTTTAAACGGGAGCGTCCTCGAAGCTGTCTTCGAATGTGGCCAGATCGGACCGCGCGAAGAGCGTCCTCAACCTGTGTCACTGCAGCGCCGCGTGCCTGGCACTGGGATGGCGCCGCCCTTCCCGGAGGACCCTCTCTTCTCTCCGCGTTCTAGCTCTTCCGTCTAATCGCTTGTCCTTCGCACCCGGGTTGTCTTGCCCAAGTGGTCTGGATGGTACTGGGGCTGGGCTGGTGGTGGGGGAGGAAGGTGTTGGTGGGCGACACACAGTGAGAGCCGCTCCCGGGTCCCACGTCCACCCACCCCTGCGGAGGCGCGAGCTGGGGACTGGGGAGGCAGCGGTGCGCTTTCACGTGGGTGCTCCCTCTTAACCCAGGTGCTTCAAGGTCACAGTCCTGGCCGGACTGAGGGCGTGCGGGCAGCAGCCGCCCTTATATACCCTCTGGGGGCCCGACGTGTTCACTGCGTTCTTGGTTGCCCAGGACGACAGCCAATCAAGGTGCAGGTGGTTAGCCCTGTCCGTGGAGGAGGGGGTCTGGCCGCTGCTAGGAGACCGTAGTGCACCTTTGTGACGCAGTATTGGAGAAGTTAGGGGGAAGGGACAAGACTAGGCGGGTACTGGCCATCCTCAACAACGCTGGAGGCAGTTTAGATGAGCCCTTTATACCTTATTGAGGTGGTGTGGGGAATTTGGAAGATGGGTCTTCAGCTGAACCGGAGTTTCCTTGGCAGAATTTCTTTAAAAGCCTCTATTCTATGTCTTTGTGTGTGGGCAACAGCAAAAGCAAAACAAAACAAAACAAAACGCCCCACAGTTGGCAACCTTGGCCCCACTTTTTACTTAGGGCCAGTTTGCTCTTTTCTATCTCCAGGAATCCAGATTCACACATGAAATATTCTCACAAAGCCTACATAGGTGCCACACAGTCTTCATGTCGACCCTCTCGGTTTTTTATGCTTCACAGGTTAGAGGACCAAGATTTCATTTTGCCCAAGGTAGAGTGGTTAATGGACTTCAGAGCTAGTTTTCAAGCCTGAACCAATTAACCCTCAAATTCTTAACCACCTTGCTATATTAACACATCCTAAATAGGACTTTTATGCCTAGTTAATGAAATATGCATGAGAAAGAATTTTACTTATTCGAACATACCATGCATATGTCACTTGATTAAATAAGCTTAGTTACCAGGAAGAGCACCACGAGTTTGGCTTTCAGAAGAAAATTTGAATTATGTCTTTCCTTTATTTCTTCACTATATAATTGGTTACATTGGGAGACTTAAGAAATCGTAGTTAAGCATCTGGGCTTTCTTTAGAGTTAATTCAACTTCAGCTCAATTTAGTAACCTCTGAAACCTTCAAATTCCTTAGCCATACCGTTACTGTGGTTTTCCTATAATACCTGTTCCACAGGATTGTGTCGAAGATGACAAAGCGTTTCATTGAAGCACTAATACGGGTGCTCATTAAAACTCTATCATTATTATCGTACTTTAGGACTTCAGGACTTTTGGAGGAGTTGATACAATAAATGTAAAGACCTTAAACCCTGTGCCTGATGCAACAATGGCCACCCCAGCACCCTTGTGTGCTTTTGTTCTTCCACTTCGTACAAACATCAGTGAGGTGCTACCAGGCTTGGCCCTAGGAATAACCATCTCAGAACATGTTTCACTTCATTACCTTCTCGTAGTAAGTGGTTGTATAAGATAGGACACTGCCTGCTAAGAACCTCAGTCCACTGAATGATACCAAGGCAAAATGTGTGAAGACCCTGAAGCCGGAAAAGGTGATTTATGTGTCCCTGGATGAAAATTGAGAACAGCATGAGCGTTGTGGATGGAGGTGCCTAGGTTTGTCATGGGACCTGCCACAGGTTTCATTCAATTTCTCTTGCTCTGTGATGGGCCAAAAAGAAATCTACTCAACTCCAAGAACAGAACACAAATGTTTTTAGCTTCCAGGGTCCCCTTACAGATGCAGGCTCACACCTCTGGCAATTACTTTAATCCTGTTCTATGTAACTCAAAATGGAATGGTGATAGTCCACATTTAGTTTTCTAAAGACAAGTCTCACACCATGTGGGTTTTTATTTGAGAGCTTCAAAAATTGACTGTATTACTTCCCTCTTTGTTTTATTAAAGATCATTGACTCATTTTACAAGTAATTAAGGACAGCTTTTCATTGATCATTTGAGTTTTACAGAAATAATTTTGGTTTATTTTTCTTAGTCTTTCTCCTTATTAAAATCAATTGACAGTATTATCTTGCCCCAGGCTTCTTAAGAGAAGCAGAAAATTGTCATTTATAATTTATAATTTGTTAAGAAGATTGGAATTGCAATACAGTTCTAACTACGCTTATACCACCCAAGATAAGTTGATACCAGACCATGTTAAACATAACATCCAGAAATCCAACTGAGAACATTTAAAAACCCATTTCTAATTGACTTGTACTTTTTAAAATATTGTGAGAGGAAATATTATTTCAGCATTAGAATATATACATAATGTTGCTATATATTGTATTAGTTTTCTGTTCCTGCATGATAAATCACCACAAAATTAGTTGCTCAAAACAACATAAATTTATTAGCTCAAAGGTTCCCAGTGACAGGGGTCCAAGAACAGCTTACTGGAACTCTCTGCTCAAAATCTTGCCAGGCGGTAATCAAGGTGTTACCTGGTTTGAGTTCTTATCCTAGGGCTTTCTCTGGAAAAATCCACACCCAAGATCCTGCCTGCATGTTATTGGCCGAATTCATTTCCCCGAGGCGCTATGACTGAAGATTCTGTCTTTTTGCTATCTATTGGCTAGAGGCAACCTTCAGGCCTTAAAGGCCATGTACAAGTCCTAGGGCCCAGTGCTACTTCCTAGAGACTACCCTCCCCATAGTTCCTTGCTTTGAGCCTTTTCATCATGGCTGCTCACTCATCAAGCCAGCAGAGAGAATCTCTGTATTTCTTCCTAGCAAGATGGATATATATAT